TAAAAGGGTGAGGTTGGACTGAAAGGGGAGTTGCCGCGTGTTGCCACTGACGACACCATACTGTTGGGTGCCGCATCTGCTGGTCGCTCCTGTGTACGGCGACAACGTCTGTGGACTGTGCGTAAACCTTCTGCTAAGCTAACGCGAGCTGCTGCTGCACCTGTATGACTGCACACAGGCACTAGCCAGCTTGTTGTGCAACAACGATCGTTGGGCCTGCTACAGGCAGCTGCAGTGCCTAGAGTGTGGTTGTTTAGTGGCAAGTGACTGCAGCTGGGTTGAAAGGAAGGCTGCTGCCGTGAGGCTTGGAGAGTGGGGCAATGCGAAGGGGACTAGCATTATGGAGTGGGGGTCCGTCAGGACGGTCTGACTCCGCCCTTTGACTTTGGGAGCTAATCAAGCTGTACTCTTGGCCATCATTGCGGGGCCCTCAGGTGCTGAAGACCTCAAGGTCCTCTCACGCGAGTCCGAGTGCACCCTTCTTGTATCTGAGAGACTTAATGACTCGTCTTCTGCCCTTCTTACTCTCAGTCTAGTCCACTGGTTCAGAGAGGAAGGCGGCAGGCGGGATTGCAATCCGTAATCCGCGCCAAGGCCTCTGTGGGAGGTTCGCCCCACCGATTGCCGGAGCCCTGCCGGAACTCAGGAGGAGTTCTGGAGGCAGGGAACTCAGGGGTAACCATTGCTTTCCCTTATAAACCCAGTATAACCCCTATCTATACACCTCCCTGTGTATTGGCTGACTGTCTTGTATGCAACACTTACTTTGACTTCTTTGACTTTAAGGACACAAATCAGACTAACTAAAGGAATGCATGTATAATGGCAGTTTCAGTTCTTTGATTGACTGAAAGCAGATTGTCACAAGGGATTGCATCAGGGGGAAGGTTGGGAGGAAGGCTGTTTTGCTTGCGATTGAACGGGTCCTATGGGGTCAGGCATAGTTTCTAAGATGAATGGCCTGACTTCTATGTTTTGTTTCGTTTTCTGAAGAACCAAGCATTGTTTCTAAGATCAATGGCTTGGTTGCTGTGTTTCTTTAATTATGATAGACATTGTTTCTAAGATGAATGGTCTGGCTACTTAGTTCTAAGGGGTATTGTTTGCTTGACTTTTGAGGGTCAGGTATTGTTTCTAAGATGAATGGTCTAGCCTCCGTTTTACTTGGGTGGTTTATGAACAGTCTCTGGGACAGACCTAGGGTACTCTGCTTTTTTGTATGCTGAAAAAGGGAGAACTGAGCATTGTTTCTAAGGTGAATGACTCATCTCTCCTTGGTTGTTTTCTTCTGAGGGAGGATTCAGGCCAAAAGACTAGACATTGTTTCTCAGATGAATGATCTACGTCTGAGGCCACAGTACTATAATGAGAATAGAGGAATAAGATTCTCAATAATGTTATATATATATATATGCTTATATACGAACAAGGTTAGTCAGACATTGTTTCTAAGATAAATAACCTTACTATAGACTTATCACAAACAAAGAGAGTATAATCAAGAGTTATAACAGAAGGTAACCTGGGCAGGCTGAGCATTGTTTCTAAGACGAATGGCTCAACCCTACGCCCTTTTTTTGAAGACTAAGGTGCAAAAAAGTATACATAACTTGGCTATTTAAACAGTTCAGGGCGACTAAGCATGGTTTCTGAGATGAATGGCTTAGTCATATGCCAAATAAGAGAAAAGTAGTTGTGCAACCTGCTCGTGTATAACTAAGGCAGAGGGTTGACATTGTTTCTAAGACGAACGACCAATCTCAATGCCTATGTAAGCAGGGTGTGAAGGGTTAAATTATTGAAAGGCTATAAACTAATGTTTGTCGAACCAACTTGGGGATGGTGAGAGTACTTACCTTTGTGGTTTGGCCTGCACGTAACTGAGTGACATCACTACCTAGTCTGAGTTTGAATTGATAGGTAGTTGCTGTAGAGGCTCGCCACGTGTCAGAGCTGTAGGAGTTCAATTCCTGCATTTTCTGAGATAGTTTTTTTACTTACTTTGATTTCTGCATTTGTCTGAGGTCTTTTCTCATACTTGGGCTTTTATAAATCTTGGTAAGACACTTTTCCTACAGAAAGCGCTGCCGAAATTTCTGCAAATCCAAGAAGTTAGACAAATCTCAGACTTTCAAAAGTCCAACTGTTTGAATCATATATGGTTTAGTAAAAATCAGGGAAATCTTCTTTTACAAAGGGGATGTTGCCCAAACTCTTACTAATTCAGGGAGTTAGACAGAATTGGACTTTAGAAAGTCAAAGACTATTTCTGTTTTTATATTCTGACTTATGTATATTCTGGAAAGGCAGGTTTCCTACGGAAAGCGCAGCCGAAATTTCCTAGTTTAGAGGAGTTAGATTATATTATGACAAGTGACAGAGTTGGCATCACACTCTGTATAAGGGAAACCCAGCCAAAGGTCTACCTTTTCTTTGAGCCCTAACTTAGGACTAGGCTCAGATCTAGTTGACTGCCAGAAGGTTAGATGGGACCACCATACAGAAGACGGTTCGCACAAGGCTTACCGGGTTAGTCTTGGGCGTTGACCTGTCTTTTGTTAAAGGCCAGCTTGATCGATCTGATTCAGGACTTGGACTAGGTTCAGCTGATCCCTTGAGGATCATGTGCTGTTATCATTGATAACAGGTCGGTTACCGATTCGTCGGTCCACGACTCAATTCCTACTCACTCCCCATACTCAACCTAGAAGGCTTTGGCCTTGGTGATCTTTCTGTTTGTTAAGGGTTTTACCCGATCTTTTATTGAATGGCCATTTAACAAAAATACCGAGTACTTAATTACGGTTGGTTGGCTGGAGGTTGGGGCTTACATGGCTAAAGCAAGGAGTATGAGTATGGAGGTTTGGTTGGAGTTGACCCCGTATAGTGTGTGGATTTCTGCTTGGCTCCTTGTTGTGACTGTAGGTATGTACTGTGGCTTGAGTTATCGGATCGGACTGCCTGCGATCTCACATATGTATATATGGTTATGTGGAGTCCCATGGTGATTGCGAGATGTGATCGTCACCTATCTATTTCCCTTTATATATATATATATATGTGCGTATGTATGTGCACCTACGTGGGGTATTAGCGCGGCCTGGGGTGCCCGCGTACTAAGGACCTGATCGAGGGCTGGGGTGGATAGGAGGGAGGGGATGACCCCCTCTACTGTTCTTAGAAAATTTTTGGTCGGACGTTAGCCTGAGCTTGGAACACGATGGTCCTCGCCCAGGGCGACCCTGGTCCCGAGCCTAACACAAAAAGGTTTTTTCTTTGATAAGGTATTAAAAAGTACTCGTTTCTTTTCCTTGTTGCGATTTATCTTGGTGGAACAATAAAGTCTCGGGCGGAAGGGTTAGCGTGTCGCTGGTGATGCGCCAGACAACTCACCACCACTCCAAATTCCTTCCTGCCTTAGGGGTTGCTTACCCCACACCCTTTGGGACACCTCAGGGTGCAGAAAACGGAAAGACTCTCAAGCTAGTTCTGCGCCTGCTAAAGGGTTACCTCCCTTTAGCATGCGCTTCAGCCAACACCCGAGCGTCGGAGATAACCCCATGGCTCAGAATAGGCCACTTGGGTATGGGCACCACATAATGCGCCGTCATCACAGATACTCACGTAGAGCTGCATACTGAATTGGTATGTATGGATACTGCGCCCGCACGATCTTATACTAAGTCCTTGCACGCAACACTCGCCGACTTTTGCACTAAAAGTTATGGGTCAGGCGGCGAGACCAAAAGTGCGATATGGCCAAATAGGCTCGGGTTCCTGATATCGCGAAGCGACACATGGGTGAAGGACTAGTCCCAGTCCACCTATGGGAGCCCGTGTACGGACCGTCATTACCTCGGACATCGGGTAGCCTAGGGGTCTGGGTTCGGGACTCCTCCGCGCGCGCGTCGTTTGAGTCCGCCTAACCCTTTCATTTTTTTTTAGGCCACTAAACCAATGTGAGTGGAGTAAATTCATTTTTTGAGCTTTCGTACTTGGACGTTATAGTCCGTAGCAGCCGTCAAAGTCAAACCCCTTGATGTTCGACCGCCACGACAACTTAAAGCTGTCTACTCAACACCTCTGCACAGGGTGCAGAAGAGGGTGTGGTCCGCAACCGCGCATGGCGGTTGTCCAGCGTCGAGAGATTAACCCTCAAGGCGCTTGTCAGCCGACACACGAGTGTCGAACGCGACCCTCGAGATTAACGACGCCACATGAGCATGAGTACTATATAGTACGCCATCATTGCGACCGCTTGCGTACGCTTGCATTGCGAGTCGATATGAGTTAGCCCAGCGTCCGTGCGATTTCATACTAAGCCTCGCACGCGACGCCTATCCGATTTCCACATCAAAAGATTATGGGACGATTACTAAGGGGCTAGGAGCATTGTCGCGTTGCTTGTGTTGTGTAGTTTCGTGTGTGTGTGTGTATGTGTGTCTTGTTTTTGTGTCTGTAAAGTGGTGTGCGCGTGGTGTGTGGGATGCGTCCTAGTCGACCGACGTCGGGCCGCGCTTGGGACTTCAGCCCCCCAAGATGTCGGTTCGCGTGAAGGTCCGATAGGCGTATTACCGTGCGTACCCCCTATGCTACAGCAAACGAGAAACGCCCTCCGCTGGTCCACCTCTGCGATTGCAACGGAGTAGCTTTCGTACCGTGGACTGGTAGCTCGGCGGGGATACGCCCACCGAAGGGAGGTGACATCCCGTAAGGTGAAGGTAAGATGTGCCTCGCGTAGGCCCTATCCTGTCGTAGGGGCTCGCGAGAGGTATGGCTGGCGCACTCGGCCGGAGCGGCCTAAGGAAGCTCCATTTGTGTATTCGTGACGAGGTTGGTCCAACTCCTGCGTGACGTGGCCGAGAGGGTCCCGCGCTGCCACGTGCGGTGCCGGACCGATACGCTCGACACTGCCGTTTGTCGACAATTGCGGGACTGGGCAGCGCGCCTTACGACTGAGTAGGTGCAACTGTTAGCTCGACCCCGAGATCTCGTCGTAACGACGAACGACGTCGATCTCCAGCTTCGAGTCTCCTCCACTGCACTAGAGGTTGCCCTCCCTGTGCTTCGCCCCTTTCCTCGGCCTCAATGAACCGTCACCGTCTCTCTACCTTCAGTCTCCCCACTGATGTCCCTGCGTTTTGGCAATCTGTCGTGGATGCGTCTCTGTCTTTCATGATCAGGCAATTGGACGTGCCAATTCTGGATGCGGTCAAGTGGACGCAGTGGTGGCAAGCAAACGTGGCACTCAGTTTTTGTCTCCTCAACGTCGTCTTCCACTGGGCGGAGCCCTATGACAGATGCGAAGAGGACGAGATTCCCGAAGATGAGATAGAGTCGCTGCTCATTCGAGCTTGGAGGTCGAACATGGAGGACGATTTTCTTGGGATCTTGTTCGGAGAAGTGCGAGACGGCCACCTGGCATCCATCACGAACGAGCTGCTAGTGTTTTTGAGCGAAGTACTCGACGATCTGCCATTGGAGATTCTCTCGCGCTGTGACGAGAAGCTGGGGGCAGCTACGCTTGTTCGCACGTTGGAGTCACGTCTTCTGTGGTCCACGTGTACAGAGTTGGAGGAGGAAAGCTACTACGTGCCTTCGGCGGGAGTATATTTACACGTCGACGTCACCGATCTTTCCCTGTGGGACCCGCTCATCCAGCGCGCCCTCGCAAGAGAAACAAGTGAAGAAGAGGAGAAGGACGACGGAGAAGCAGCATCGGTAAAGGAAGAAGATCGGGAATCCGATCCCGATTATCGACGATCGGAGAACGAAGAGTTGGAGGAAGCCGGTTCGGAGGAGGAGGCAGACGAAGAAGAAAACACGCCGAGAGATTCAAGTGAACCAGCCGAGCTAACCAGGGAGGAACGGGAAGCCGCATCCCAAAGACGACGAGAGGCCGCAGAAGGCAAATGACCGATCGTAGAATTAGGGTCGTCGCCGCCACTACTGCAGGGCAATCCAACACTCAACCCGAAGCCGCCGCGGCAAGAAGACGAGAGAGATGGAACCGCCGCCACATAGGGATGAAGGAGTCGGTGCCGCCGACGAAGCGAATCACCCTCGCAATCCTCCCCAGTTTCCAACACAACCCTTCGTCTACGTCGAGATGCGGGCGCTCAGGCTTCGTCCCCGATCATCATCCCGTTGTCCCCATGACTTCCTCACCGTTCAGCAGCTCGTAGGCCAACCCCCCTTCCCTGACACGTGGCAGCAATTCCACTTTCCCTCTTCCACCATCATTACGCCACCCACCTTTTGGTCACCATCTTCCCGCACACTACTACTCGGTCGCTCGTCACTTCCTTCCCCCTCTACGCCCTTCTCTTTAGCGTG